CTGTAAAATTTCTATAACCTTAGGGTGACTTGAGAGGCATGCCACAGCTTTGTGTTAGAGGAACAATATCAGAGGCTTCCCATGAGGGAGTAGACTTCACTAAAATAACCCAGCCATGGACAGAGGAAAACAAGAACAAAACCCAGTACAAGAACACAAGAATAACAAGGAAGAATCCCTGAGTTCAAGTTGGGGAAGCAGTCACAGTGCTCTAAAAGTTGGGACGGGGGGGGGGGCAGTCAACTGAGAAGCCTACATCCAGCAAAGCTAATGTACACAGAGAAAAGTGAAACAAAAAACATTATCTGGCAAACAAGAAAAGCAATGTTCTTCTACTAGACCCCATCCTAGTAGAAATACTAGAAGTTCTTTTGGTAGAAAGTGAATAACATCAGCTGGTAATCCAAATTCACACAGAAAAAAAGTAAATAAGTACTGGCAAAAACATTTATGCAATTATAAAATATAACATGAATGCATAATTCTTCTCTTGATTTGAAAAACAGTTAAATAATGCATCTGCTGTGGAGTGATCCAGTTTCTTCCTGTGTCTAATCCAACAGCAGGTTGCATTATTTTGCTCCTAAGAGATATTCAGAGTACAAAAAGCAGTAGATGGAGCAGTCAAGTGTTTAATTAGAACAAACATGGAAGGAAGAACATTTTTTGCCTATGGAGATAGTTCAGTAGTTAAAACACTGCTTACCCAAACCAGAGAGGTGGAGCTTGGATTCCCAGAAGCCATGTAAATGCAATACGGGCATGGTAACACAGAAGGCAGTGTTAGAGTATTTCTACATCAAGATAGCTAATGAGATTAATGTATCTGTGATCTCTGGGTTTAACTGAGAGACCTTGCCTCAAAGGATAAGGATGGAAGAGCAGTAGAGGAAGGTTCTTTTTTTTTTTTTACTTTTTTTTTATTAATATTTTTTTTATTTTCCATTTTAAATTTAGATAAGAAACAAGGTTGCTTCACAAGTCAGTACGAGGTCCCTCTCCCTTTCCCTCCCCTCCTCCCGTGCCCTCCCCCCCATCCCCCCCCTTATCCCCTCATTCCCCCAGGGAGGGTGAGGCCCTCCATGGGGGTGTCCATAGTCTGTCATTTCATATAGGGCAGGGCCTAGACCCTTCCCCAAGAGTTCAGGGTGAGAGTGCACCTCACATTGTTCAATGGGAGTCCAGAGTCCGTGTGTATACTTGGGATGGGTGGAAGGTTCTTGACATCAGCCTCAGACTTCCAACCTGAAGTTGGTTTGATTTGAGTTCACTAGCATGAACTACTATCATAATCTTCATATCTTGTTTTAGGGGCCTTAAGATAGCCCAGCTGAAGAGAATACTATCCCCTGTTATTATTTGTTGAAACCAGACTTGCTCTAAGTTTCTTCTTATTGTGAAAATGTGGGTCTTCAGACTGTGGCTTGCCCTAATGATTCCATTATACAATCAGTTTTTCTTGGTTTTGTTTTACTTCATTTTGAAGGTAGAGGACATCTGCTCACCTGGGTCGATACATAAACAACGCCATCTATCAACGTGGCCCCACCTATTCAGCACGACTGATTATTTTGAGGATCAAAGAGAGCATCACCCTATAAATGTATTAGGGTGAGTTGAGACTCTTGGGGCACGTTGGCATGTCAAAATCCTTTCAGGGAAATAAGCCCTGTAACTTATTGGACACGCTCAGCTGATGAAAAAGTGCAACCCTCTGCATGGATGATTCAACATACGAAAATCTATCAATGTAATCCACCATATAAACAAGCTGAAAAACAAAAATCACATGACATTGTAATCCACCATATAAACAAGCTGAAAAACAAAAATCATATGATCATCTCACTAGATGCTGAAAAAGCCTTTGACAAAATCCAACACCCCTTCATGATAAAGGTCTTGGAGAGATCTGAGATAACAGGGTAGGTGGATTATGTGACCAATTGTTTTCATTGAAATGTAACCTTAGTGAATTTCATCTCATTCAATAAATTCTGACAGTGTAGAAAGACAGAAACATGTTTAAATATGGATCAGATATTGCAGGATTACAGAATTCACCTATGGTTCTCTCTCTCTCCTTTTCTCTTTGTCTCTGTCTCTGTCTGTCTGTCTGTCTGTCTCTCTCTCTCACACACACACACACAAACATAGACACTCACGCACACACACACACACCATTTCTCCTCCCCTCCCCATCATTCCCCTTTTCATCTTTCCATCTCAATCTCCCCCCTTCCTTCCCCTCCCCTCTTCCTCTCCCTCTCCTCTTTCTTCCCCTACCCTCTCCTCCTTCTCCTCCTCTTTTCTTCCACTTCCTTCTTCCCCTCTTCCTCTTCTCTTCCTCATCCTCCTCCTTTCCCTCCTCTTCCTCTTCCCTCCTCCTACTCCTCCACTCCTGCCTTCCTCCTCTCCCTGATCATTTCCTTCTTTCTCCTTCATTCCCTTTTCCTCCTCCTCTCCTTTCCCTTCTCTTCTCTTTCCTTCTCCCTTGCCTTCTTGTCCTTTCTTCCTCCTCCCCCTCCCTCCTTTTGCCCTCCTTCATCTTCCCCTTCTTTTCCCATCCTCTCCATCAGAGCTAGCCTGAAGCTAAGTGGTCGAAGCATGCCCCAAACCCTGGATTTTCTCATCCTTAGAGCAGCAGGAGTTTGTTTGCTCCACCCCTTGTCCAGATGCCAGCAGTCCCCAAGCAGTTAGGCTTCCTGTGATGTGCCCCAATGCAGCTGATAAGCTCATGGTCTCCAAGGCTACAGGGAATGGTTGCTGCTTATCTGAACTCTGAAACAGCCCAAGCTAGACTTCCTATGACTATAAGTTATCTTCCTCTGGCCCCTATAGCCTCTGAGTGTACAAGTGAAGTATCCTCGATATTCTTGCCCCAATCAACAGCATACCACCACATGGAACCAAGAAGCCATTCTTCCTAGGGTAGAAGTGTCCCTTTGCCCCTCCTAATAAATGGGGTGTCCACTGCCACAGCCTCCAGGGTGTCCTTTTCCCTGTTGTACTCATGTCCACTCAGGATCCACCTTTGTCTATGCCAATGCTCAGCATATTTCCCTCCTAACCATGCCTGGACAAAGCCAGGGCTGGAACCCAGCACTCTCCCTCCTCCCTGTCCTCCTCTTCCTCTCTGCTCTCCTCCCTCTCTCCCCTCCTTCTTCTCCCACTCCTTCTCCCAACCCTTCTACTCCTCTTCTTCTTCTGTGTCTTCCTTCCCCTGCCTCCCTTTGCTCTGCCCTGCCCCCTTCTCCTCATCCTCTTCCTCCTAGTGTTTCCTCTCCTCCCTCTCCCCCTATTCCAACCCACTTCTTGTTCTCCTTTTACCCTTCTCCCCCTTCCTTTCTCTATTCACCTCTTTTCCCTCCTCCTTCCCCTCCTTTTGTTCCTTATCCTTTCCTCTTCCTCCCCTATCCTCTCCCCCTTCTTGTTCTCCCCATATCTTCCTCTACCCCCTCTTCTCCTCCACCTTCTCCTCCCCTTTCTGCTTCCAGTCTTTCTGCTCCTCCTCCTTTCCGTCTCCTCTCGCCTGTGCCTTATCATCCTCCACCTTCTAGTCTTTTACTCTTCTATCACTGTGGTGCCTGCGCCATGAGCATGTACAACATATCGGGAGAAAGCCTGGAGATTTAAATGAAAGACAATATATCTAGCCATTTGTGCTAAGAGAGTGTCTGTGTGAGTGTGCGAGCGAGCGTGCGTGTGTGTGTGTGTGTGTGTGTGTGTGTGTCACAAGGAGGGAGCAGCCTTATATACAGACTTACAGCACAGTGAAGAAACTCCAGGTATAAGGGTTTATGTTTTTATAATTAGAGGTTGATGTCAGTGGGACAAGTGTGGGGCTGTAAGCCAGGACTAGAGAACAGGATGCACTGTGGTTGTTGGCTGACAGTCAACTCACAGAGACCCCATGGAGGCTGACACTCAACATATCACCCCTTTTTCTTTCCATTATCCTCCTTCCCCTATTTTTATTCCTCCCCCTTCCTTCTCCCCCTTTCTCTATCCCTCTCTCTCCTTTTCCTTCTCCTCTCCTCTCCTTCATCTTCAGTTCCTCGTTTTATTCTCACCTCCCCTCCTCTCCTCTCCTCTCCTTATCCCTCGCCTTCTTATCTTCCTCCCCCTTCTCCTCCCTCAACTCTTCCTCCTCTTCCTTCTCCATCCTTCTCTTCCCTCATTTCTTATTCCTCTCCCTTTCTCCTCCCTCACCTTCTCTTCTTCCTCTCCTCTCTCTACTCTTCCTCCCCTTCCCTCTTGCCTTCTCCACCCCGCCCTTCTCTCTATTTCTTGCTTCTCTCTCTTCCTATTCTTCTCTTCCTAACTCATCCTCTCCTGTTCTTCCTCCTCCCTCTTCTCCTCCTCCAACTCCTTATGCCCCTCTTCCTCCTTTCTCTTCATTCCCTCCTTCCTTCTCCCCTCCTCTGCCTTTTCTCTTTTTTCCCTTTCTTCTTCCCCTCCTCAACTATTCCTCCTCCTTCTCCCTGCTCCTTCCCCATCTAGTCTTCCTCCTCCCCTCCTTTACCGTTCCCCCTCCTCCATCTCCTCTCCTCTTTCTTTCTCCCCTCCTCTTCTTCTACAACCATTCCTCTCCTCCCCCTCTCTAACTCTCCCTCCTCCCTCTTCTTCTCCCCTCTCCAGCTCCCTCTCTTCCCTTTCCCTTTGCACACTTCCTTCCTTTCCTTCTCCTCAATCCCTCCTCCTTTCATGGTTGAAACTAAGGAGTGAACCAGTGCCTGCTTAGCAATCATCTTCAATCATTTTTACATGTCAAAAGAATTTTACATTTTTAACTATATGCATGCATGTGTTTGTGGTATATCCATTATGTTGATCATTTGGCAGTAGTAATGAGGGCGTTATATCATGTATATGAACAGCTAGTAGACACTCATGACGTGGAGGGGATAGAAGCACCAACATTCAAGCAATCTTGTCAGATAAGCAACACACAATCTTTAGTGAACATTATTTTATTGAAATACTGGTTAAATGTCATTAAATATCTATATTTCTATTCACAAAAATACTAAGCTGAAATACTAAGCCATGTTGTACCTTGATACTTTTCAAGAACATCAAATACAAAATGAAAACAACAAACACAGAAATGTTTACTTGTCTAGGTCATAATAGAGTGGTCAAAAGATCCTCAAAGGGCTTGAAAACAATATGCGACAGAAGCCATTTTGTAATTGCTGGCTGTAAACAGAGAAGAGGAATTCTCTGATAGGTAATTAAAGAAATCTTGCATATAACTGGACACTAACATTAGACTGCACCTATTAAGGGAAAAATGGGTCAATGCACTGCCAATATTCACAAATAATCGCAGGAGGTGTGACGCCCCATAAATCTGAGACATTGGAAGATCTGGGTAAGCCAGGAGGATTTCAGCATACTGGGGTTTTTCAAACTGGCAGAGGAGCTTGGTGCCCAGCATCCTGTTGAAATACTCTCTTATTCCATACACAAGTTCATCAACAGAATATTCCCCATTATCAGACTTTCCCTGTGATTTCACGAAGTTGACATAGTTTTCGAGAATGTGATCTACATTCTTTTCAGCAGGGAGTTGGAATAACTGCTTGTGCGTGTTTACCAAGTCCAAGTCCTCAACAATGCATGCTTTTAGTTCTCGAGGCAACTCCAATTCAACTCCCATTCTCATATTCACTGCCTGGATACGCTGTCCAGTGGTGACAGCCCCAGCCACATTCTGGTGAGTGGCCTGGGGTACTTGGCTGGTAGCACTGCCAGTGCTGCTTTCTGGAGCATCCTGTGTGCTCTTGGGCACTGGCACCGCAGGCATGGATCCTGAAGAGGGTGTCCCTACAGGAAAGTCTTTCTCCATGAAGTGATGACCTTCCTCCACTGAGCACCCATTCTTGCCTGTGTTACTTTCCTCATGAGTGTAGCTGTCATGAATCTCAACACTCTCACGAGAACCAAATTTCTTTTCCACTCTCCCTTTCTTGACAGAGAGCTGTCTCTTTTTCTTAGTAAGGTGGCCTCTCTCCCCATAGTGAGCTTTCTCTGCAGAATGGATACTCTTGGAAGACGGGTTTTTCTCTGCAGGACGACTCTTTTAGGAGGGCAACTGCTCTCAGCAGATAGACGTTTCTCTGCACAGAGGCTTTTCTTTGGAAGCCTACCTCTCTCTGTGGGGAGATTTTGTCCTGCAGTGTGTCCCCTATCTGCTGACTGACCCTCCTCTGCAGGGCTGTTTTTCCTCAGAGGGTGACTTCTCCCCGTGGGGTGATCTTTCCCTGTGGAAGGTCTTTTCTCCACAGTGTCACCTCTTTCCACTGAGCCACCCTCCATTGCAGGGCAACTTTGGATGCAGTGACCTCTCCCTGTAGGGGTATCTTCACCTGCAAAGAGTCTGCTCTGTGCCAAGTAAACCCATTCGATTGAGCGACCCTCCTGTGCAGGGTGGCTTTTGATGGGGTGGCCTCTCCCTGGAGATCCACTCTTGTTTGCTGACCAACCCTTCTCTGCCAGGTGACTTTTGTTGGCAGGCCAACCTCGCCCTACAGGGTGGTCTTCCTCAGTGGAGAGTTCTCTCTTCACAGAACGCTCTCCATCTATCCAGCGATCTCTCTGAGTACAGCTAAGTTTCTTCGCTGAGCTGTCTTTCTCTTCATGGTGATGATTTCCCACAGAGGGTCCTCTCCCGTCCAAGTAACCTTTCTCAGGAGATGGACTCTTCTTAGTAGAAAAACCTTTCTTTGCAGGTTGATCTCTCTCAGGAGTGTGGCCTCTCTCTTCATAGGGACCTCTCTCACCCAAACCACCTTCCTCTGTAGAACGATCTTTGTCTGTAAGACGTCTTTTCTTGTACAGGCAACCTCTCTGTGTAGGGAGATCTTTCTCAGCCGAGAGATGCTTCTCGAAACAGCAACTTTTCTCAAAACGGTGACGACTCTTCTCAGAGAATTGCTTCATGAACTGGTGTCTCCTGTCACAGGGTCCTTTTTTAGTAGCAGGACATTTTTCATCATCGCAAGGTCCTTTTTTAGTAGCAGGACATTTTTCATCATCGCAAGAGTCATTGTCAAACAGAAGCATCTTAGGCAAGGGGTGTACCGCATAATGCAGTACATCCTAGCAATGCATCCTTTTTCTGCAATGTGATGCTTCTCGGTGGACGGCTTTTTCTCTGCTGAGCAGGTTTTCTCACCTGAGCAACCTCTCTCCACCGCGCCACGTTTTGTGGCTGGACGGCCCCGTGATCTTCTTGGAATACCCGACTGAAGTGATGTCGGCTCGGCTGACTTCTCTCCTGAGGAGCCATTTGTCACCTTTGTGACCCGCCTGCGGCTTGGTGTCAGACTCACGAAGTCATCACCTTCAGCAAAATGCTGGTCAGGAACATGAGGCCCTTTCTCTCTGGCGCTCATTTAAGCGATCTTCTGACTTTATCTTGAAATAACAAATGAATTCCCAGATTTCCTGCGATTTTCTGGAAAACAGACTGGACACACAGCCCAGAAGGCTGCAGTCTGAATTAGTTCTACAACCAGGATCCAATCTCCTGGTTGTCCATCAAATTTAGCCCTTTTTAAGGACAGCAGAGGTGCGGCAGTGCGGAGCTCAAGTGCTCCACGTCCAACCGCCAGCTCAAAGTCTGGTTTCTCTGGCAACTATCAGTACACAAACGTCATCTTGTGGGCGGGCTTAGGCACTTCAACCAATCAGCGGTTGTATGTAAATTGTACGGCGTTCTATAGCCAAATGATTGGCCCACCACTCTGATGTCATAGCAATGGCGCCTGGGCAGGGGGAGAAGACTTCCTTTTCTTTACTTTTTTTTTTCTTTTAAAGACCAGACTGTACTCAAATTCACAAAGATCCATCCCCAAGGTTCTGCCTCCTCAGTGCTGGCATTAAAGTCATGCATGCCCTACAAGTCTTTCTTGATTAATTCAATCTCCTTCCTGGGACCCTTTCTCTGCCTCAATCACTTGGTTCCTACTCTTCAGTCCTGAGTGCATGGGTGTGGAGACGCTCTAGGCTTCAGCTTCCTGCAGCCCAGAGGGAGAGGGAGAAAAAGAAGGTCACATCATTGCTAGCCTCTCATAACTGAGGAAGAATAGGACTCTTAGCAATGAAAGATATATCTTGATAGAGGGGACCATTATAGGGGTAGGGAGAACCCTGGTGCCAGGGAAACTCACAGGAATCCACAAGGATGGCCCCAGCTGAGACTCCTAGCAATAGTACAGAGGGTGCCTGAATGGCCCTTCCCCTGTAATCAGATGGATGACTACCTAATTGTCATCACAGTGCCTTCATCCATTTACTGATGGAAGAAGATGCAAAGATCCACAGCCAAGCACTGGGCTCCAGGGGTCCAGTTGAATGAAGAGAAGGAGAAGAGATCATATGACCAAGGAGGTTCAAGAACATAACAAGGAAACCCACAGAGACAGCCGACCCAAGCTTGTCAGCTCATGGATGCTAGACTGACAGATGAGAAGCCTGATTTGGAAAACTAGGCTTTCTGTGTGTGGGTGACAGTTGGATAACTTAGTCTGTTTTGGGGATGCCTAGAATTGGGACTAGGATCTGTACCTGGTGTATGAGCTGACTTTTTGAAACCTATTTTCTATGGTGGATGCTTTGCTCAGCATTGATGTAAGAGGGAGGAGATTGGTCCTACCTCAACTTGATATGCCAGGATTTGTTAACTCTTCATGGGAGGCCTTAGCCTTTCTGAGGAGTGGATGGAGGGGCAGTAGAAAATAGGTGGGGGAAACAGTGGGAGGAGAGGAGGAAGGAGATACAGCGGTTGGTATGTAAAATAAACAAAAACTTAAAAATAAAAAAGGTCTCATTCCATCCTCCCTTTCTCCACTGTCATCAGGATTGGGCCACTTCTGAGTGTGGTAATGAGTTCATTTCCATTCTCCCTGAGAATATAAGAATGATACACTAATCTACTAAACTGTGTGTCTTATAAATTTGCAGATAGACTGAAAGTTAAAAAAATTGTAAAGGACATAAATTGCAACCTTGACAGTAGAGTGGCAATATAAGTATCAGACAAAATACACGTTAAAACAAAAACTTTACAAGGATAAAGAATGTTCTGTAATGATGAAGGGGTTGAACCATCATGAGGCTGTCACAATCACGAACATGTAATCATCTGAGAACAGAAAAAAACCACCTGAAGCAAAAAGCTACAGAAATACAACAGACCATTCAAAACTACTAAAGGGAGATTTCAATTAGTAATTTCAGCAACAGTTAGAACACTAGAGAGATGGTAAAATATGATAAAAAGGGGAACAACACTAGAACCAAATAATCCTAGGAACACATCTATACAACAATCCACCCAAGAGAAGCAGAATAGACATTTTTCTCAGGTGTATATGGAGCATTCTTTGTTAGATGATACACTGCCAAGAAGAAAAAAAAATTAAGTATGCTCTTTAACCACAAAGGAATGAAGATAGAAGTCAATAACAAGGAAATTTATGAAAATAAAAATCTGTGGAAATTATCTAGTGTAACAATGTGTAAGAGAAGAAATGAAAAAGGGAAGTTAGAAAATGTGATGAAAACACAACACCTGGTAGAGAATGCCTACAATCCCAGCCACTTGGACAGCAGTCAAAGCAGCAGAACTGAAATTTCAACTACAGAGAAAAAAATCACTGGAAATTTAAAAAGCTCAAATGAAACAAAATATATGAATATCTATAAGTCATTACTAAATTAATCCTTATGGAAAGTTTTAAACTTTGAGTGCCTGTTTAAAAAATACAAGAAAAGGGGAAGAGTACTCCTCACTGACACCCGGATTCAGGGGGTCTTGATCAGTCCCATGCTGGATTCCCAGGCTGATGCCTGGGATTCAAGAGTTAACCTTTGTCTGGTCAGCTGTTTCTGGGGGTTCAACCAGCCCAGTCTTAATCCCTTTGATCATCAGTCCTCCCTCTCTGTTACTGGCTTTCTTGAGTTCAGCTCAGTACTTAACCAGCCAGTAAATGAAGTTTCTGTTTCCCAGACTCTCTGGCAATAGGATTGTAGGCTGGCACTCCCCAGATCTATGTCTAAAATCCATATATGAGAGAGTACATGCCATGTTTCTCTTTTTGTGACTGGGTTACCTCACTCAGGATGGTTTCTTCTAGTGTCATCCATTTGCCTGCGAATCTCATGATTCCATTATTTTTTTCTGCTGAATAGTACTCCATTGTGTAGATGTACCACATTTTCTCTATCCATTCTTCGGGTGAGGGACATCTAGGTTGCTTCCAAGTTCTGGCTATTACAAATAAAGCTGCTATGAACATAGTGGAACAGACATCTTTGTTATATGAATGGGCATCTTTTGGATATATGCCTAAGAGTGCAGTTGCTGGGTCTTGTGGTAGGTTTATTCCCATTTTTCTGAGGAATCTCCATACTGCTTTCCAAAGTGGCTGAACCAGTTGGCACTCTCACCAGCAATGGAGGAGTGTCCCCCTTTCACCACATCCTCTCCAGCATAAATTGTCATTGGTGTTTTTGATTTTAGCCATTCTGACAGGAGTGAGATGGTATCTCAGAGTTGCTTTGATTTGCATTTCCCGGATGGCTAAGGATGTTGAGCACTTTCTCAAGTGCCTCTCAGCCATTTTAGACTCCTCTATTGAAAACTTTCTATTTAGTTCTGCAGCCCACTTCTTAATTGGGTCCTTTGCTGTTTTGGAGACTTGCTTCTTGAGTTCTTTGTAAATTTTGGAGATCAACCCTCTGTCAGATGTGGGATTAGTGAATATTTTTTCCCATTCTGTGGGCTGCCTTTTTGTCTTGCTGACTGTGTCCTTTGCCTTACAGAAGCTTCTCAGTTTCAGTAGGTCCCATTTATTAATTGTTGATCTCACTGTCTGTGCTACTGGTGTTATGTTCAGGAAGCTGTCTACTGTACCAGTTCGTTCAAGGGTACCACCCACTTTCTCTTCTAAGAGGTTCAGTGTGGCTGGATTTATGTTGAGGTCTTGGATCCATTTGGACTTAAGTTTTGTGCATGGCAATAAACATGGATCGATCCGCATTTTTCTACATGCCAGTCTCCAATTATGCCAGCACCATTTGTTGAAGATGCTTTCTTTATTCCATTGTATATTTTTAGCTTCTTTGTCAAAGATCAGATGTTCGTACGTGTGTGGGTTAATACCTGGATTTTCAATTCGATTCCATTGGTCTACCTGTCTATTTTTGTGCCAATACCAAGCTGTTTTCAGGACTATAGCTCTATAATAGAGCTTGAGGTCAGGGATAGTGATGCCTCCGGACGTTGCCTTGTTGAACAGGGTTGTTTTGGCTATCCTGAGTTTTTTGTTTTTCCATACAAAATTGATTATTGTTCTTTCAAGGTCTGTGAAGAATTGTGCTGGGATTTTAATGGGGATAGCATTGAATCTGTAGATTGCTTTTGGCAGGATTGCCATTTTTACTACATTGATCCTACCTATCCAAGAGCATGGGAGATCTTTCCATTTTCTGAGGGCTTCTTTAATTTCTTTCTTTAAAGATTCAAAGTTCTTACGATACAGGTCTTTCACTTGTTTGGTTAGCGTTACCCCAAGGTATTTTATGTTGTTTGTGGCAATTGTAAAGGGTGATGTTTCTCTGATTTCTCTTTCAGCCCTTTTATCATCTGTATATAGTAGGGCTACTGACTTTCTTGAGTTGATCTTGTAACCTGCCACTTTGCTGAAGGTGTTAATCAGCTGTAAGAGTTCTCTGGTAGAGTTCTTTGGGTCATTGATGTAAACTATCATATCGTCTGCAAACAGTGAAAGTTTGACTTCTTCCTTCCCAATTTGTATCCCCTTGATCCCCCTTTGTTGTCGTATGGCTATAGCTAGAAATTCAAGTACCATGTTGAAAAGGTATGGAGAGAGTGGACAGCCTTGTTTTGTTCCTGATTTTAGAGGAATTGCGTT